ATTATAGATCTAATAAAATAAATCATATCCTAGTTGAATCTATAGTTTTAATATCAGTAATTTTAAGAAAATGGGAATTAAACACCAACTACCTTATTCTATCTAAATTACCAAAATAGGCTACATTATTTTACAAAAGATCTACTAGTCAATATAAATCATTTGCAAGCTAGAATTTCCAACCAACTCTTATTTTGTCAAAATTTGTGTTACATTAGGATTTTGAGGCCCTAGGCTCTTGCCTAAGTGGCTTAGTCCTTGGGTCGGCCCTGGTGACAATATTTAAATATGACATGCAATGAAAATGGTCTCACCCCACGTGCTTGTAGGTAACTTAGAACTGTATAAAATATCATTGATTATTTCTCCAAGGCTATGTTATTCTTCTTTGTAATACCATTTTGATAAGATATACAAGGACTTGGGACTTTTTAAATTAAACTTCATCCAACTCTAACGACAAAACCCTTGTGTGTGACCAACCTTTTGCATAGCATGGTTATTTCGTCAAAATAGGCAAAATAGTATTCACTTTTAAAGTAAAGTTGAGGTTACCACGATATTGCAACAAAGTTCTGAGGGGAAAAATAAAAATCAAAATGCATAGTTTTAAGGTGGAAAACGGCATTGATCTTTATCTTCTGCAATTTATTCAATAATATAGTAACATTTTCCATCAATCATATCATGGAGAGTAGGTTGATAGTTTGTTGAAAAATAATAATAGATTCTCAAAGAGATTAAATAATTTGGATACTTTTAAGCAAGTGATAAAAATTGTCAAGGTTATATGCTTGATATTTAATATTAAATATAGGGCTGGGCAAATTTCCCGAACCGAATCGATGGAATCGAACTCGAATCGAACCCGACGGTTCTTGTCAAATTAAATACCCGAACAGGTATTTGAATTGAGAATCGACAGGTACGGTTCGACTCTCGATTTTAGACCAAGAACCGAATAAGAATCGAAACATTCTAATTTTTTTTTTATATTGAGTAAATCAAATTATTTTAATTTTAGTTTTTTCTAAACAAATTAACAAATTAACGATATCTAAATCCAAATTTTTGGCCCAATAATTTGTTTCATTTCTAATTTTTTAATTTTTGGCCCAATAATTTGTTTCATTTCTAATTTTTTAATTTTTGGCCCAATTACCCATTTTATTGTTTCATTTCTTAGCCAAATAAATCAAATCCACTAAATAACCCTAAACACCTATACTAAAGTGTATAACGTTGTCTGGACTCTCGCACTCACTCTCGCAGCCTCACTAATATTCCAGAACCTATACAATTGTCGGCCGACACTGTGACCTCCGATTGAAGTTGTGACCTCCGCGCGATCGAAACTTTGATCGTAGCGATCATTTGAACAAGTTAATTTACTAGTTTCTGACATTCCAAAATCATTGAATGTATCATTACTTGTATTTATATAATGTTGTTATAAATGTTAAAAAATTTAATTATAGTACAGAACCGAACGGAACCTGAACGGTTCCATAATTATATTTGGACCCGACGATTCCATTTACTAGATACCCGAAAATTTTGGTTCGATTCGGTTCTAAAGACTAGATACCCGAAAATTTTGGTTCGATTCGGTTCTCTTTAGAACCAAACCGAACCGATCCACTCCCAACCCTAATTAAATAGGACTTGATACTATAATTCACAAAAAAAAATAAAAATAAAAATTCATTCAATCTATAATTAATCAAGTTGTTGGATATACAAATATTGTAACCAAAAAAACAACAATAGATGATTATTCGTTTTATTCCACCTCAAATTAGTGACATGGCTTATATGTTATTCTTTTTACTAGGCACAGAAAAAATAGTTTGAACAATATTTCACACATATAATTTCTTCAATACTATCCAATCTATTATATATATATAAATACTTTAAATCAATTAAGCACGCAATACTCTACAACACCAAACAAAAGATTATCCTTCTTGACCTCAGTTTTAAAAAAGAGTGAACTTTGCAATCTAGACACCTCGAAAAATATAAAGATTTGATTATAGAAAGGAGCACGATCCTTCAATCTTAATCAACATTTGGCAAAACCTTGCAACATCCATAAAAGATTTAAAATCAGAGGTAAAATGTTCCCTTCATCTAAATCAAATAGTACAACCATACTATAGTTTCATCTAAAATCCAGCTATTTGGTCGAGTAAATGGAATAAAATTTTGGTATCAAGTACACCAGATATTAAGCATAAAAAAAGTTAATAGCATCTACGTTATCCTTTTAGTATTTTCCAATAGTACGGTATTAAATATGGCAAACCACGTTACGTAGTCGAGTCAAGGTTTTCAAGTAGAAGCAAACAAATTTCAGAGGGACAAAATATATGAAGGTTGTACATATATAAAAAAAAAAAGTTTATATATGAAAACGGATAATTTTAAAAATGTTGCAGGGGCTATTGGGAATCTATTTATACATGCACAGCGGAAAATTAAAATTATTTCAGTTCCCATCGAGGATCCCTTTGTGTTTAGATAGAAATCGTGATAAAAATTGTACTTTTGATGAATTCTGCAAACCTTTTGCTTTTCTTTTTGTTCCAACAATCTTGATTCGCTACCCATAGCTGTCCAATCGTCCAGTCTCCAACGATGATCCACACAGAGAATAAGATTGCAGCTACCAAGATTTTTCCTCTTGTGCCAACAAGAATAATGAAAATCATATGAATTGAAAACCCTAACCTTTTATTTATATAAGCCCAAACGGGTCTGGCCCGGTCTGGTCCAATATTTAATTAAACCATTTAATTAAATTCAATCCATGAATTAATTAATCCAATTAATTAATTCGGGCCTATAAATAATCAACACAATTAATTAATTTATTCAACAATTGTTAAATTAATTAATTGATAAATTGCAATCTTCCAATTCTCTTTTATGTGCGACCCATTAGGTTCCCGATCACCATGCCTAAAGACGTGAAATATTATTTTGATCTAATCAAAATTGATAAATTAAAACACCATTTTAATTTATCGTCAATTCGCACTCGCCGTCCCTGATTGACATCTAGCAATGTGTTAGGGCAATGCATAGACGAAAAATGTCATGTGGTGTGACAAAACCAAACTCGTTCGTTTACCATGAAACTATAATCCCTTCGTCAATATGATTTGATCAATTACGAGATATAGAAGTGTGTCAATCTCAATCATCGATCATATCTTTCACTCCACTATTAAGTCAATATAAGCTGAAAACTCATTTTCGACTTATGAGTACATCTTGGCCAATGATTTCATCATTGACTTAATTGAATGAAACGTAGATCATAATCTCCTACTATCTAAGAGTGACGAATCCTTTATTGATCAATCACAACATTCATATGATTCTTGACATACCCGAACGATGTCGTATTAGCTGCTATTTGTAGAGCAACATCCAACACAGTCAAAGTATGACTGTCCTCATATAAAGTACCATGACGACCTCAAGTCAAATGACCAATTCCACTACCGAACGTTAGAGATTAACCACTGACACTCAGATAGCTATCCATGTGGAATCTTTCGGCGAGTCTCCAATGTTTTGTTCTATAACAAAACATCCACGTGTCTATTTAAGTGTCACCACACTTTAACTTGTGAGATCAGCTACTTACTTCACAAATAAGAAATGTCACACGTGATGGTCTATCTGTAATAACGATATCCGTATCTCGTTATTACTTACGATCATGGACGATTTAAAATTCAATCAGATGTAATTTGTATCTTACAATCACAACTCCTTGTGATTAACAAATTATGAAGATTTGAATCTACGGACTCTATTATTTATTTAATTATCTATTAATTAAATAATAGATCTACCATTAAATTGCATTAATTATATATCAAAAGTATTTATGTCCAAAGTTGATTGGACCTAGAACATAATACTTACAGGGGCGGTCACTGCCATGTCTATCGGCCCCTGAAATCTGTATACTCTTTCATCAATACTAACTGAGAACAAAGAAAAGGAAAAAACGGATGAAAAGTAATTAGTTCAAGAAATTCAAGAAACATCCAATTAATCGTGCACTCATCTTTAAAAAGTTTGAGGAGAGAAGTAAGGTTTCCAATACGTCAATGTATAAAATAATTGTAGACTCAAGAATGATCGAGCAATAGAGCTAGAAAAAAAAAGAGAAAAGCCTTTTTAGATCGTTATTTTTTTTAACATTGCTTTTTATTTCTTAATAATATTTCTCCATAAAATTCTCATACATAAACTTTATATCAACATGACATTAATGGAAGCATTAAAAATTACAAATACTGATATAAATAAACGTCTTAGTAAAATTGAATTACCTATCCAAATAATATAAATGAAGTCGAGAAATGTTCTTCCCAAGAGAAAAAGCGAAGTTCAACCCCAAGAATGGATAATTGAATCTTAAAAGGTACATGGGTAGTTTCAATAAAAGGCTACAATGAGTATGGCGCATATGGAGGTTTTGCTTCAGTTCAAAGAATCTGATATACAAAAATGCGGACTCTCTCCCTATCTCTTCTTTCTCTCTCTTCCCTTTGCAAAAAGAAAACCTCAATTCCAAGAATCCGGAAATAACGCTCAAGGTAATTTGTCATCTTTGTTGCCTTTACAGTCTGAGTCTCACACTTTGCCTCGAAAAGGAGCTTTCTTCACAATTGTGCACGTGTATACCAGTATCTACACCCCTAAAAATGCTGGAAATTAACTGCATATGGGGCAAACCCATACCTCTTTGTGTCTTGTAAATTGTTTTTCCAAACTCACATTGAAACTGTCAATGGCTCTAAATGAATCCATTCCTCCATAAGTAATGCTATTCATCCACAACAGAGATGAATGAAGTTGCGTTGTACTTATATTCATTCGATGGTATGAACAGCAGTTATGTGACTAATGAGATAAAATAATGAATATAAGAGGTTTTCTTCTTTTTATAATGAATTCGGATTAAAAATTCATTAGCTCACCAAGAAACAAATTTTTACAAACTAGTTTAATCAAATTACAATCATTAATGTCAATATCTGGTAATCATCAAACTGGAATGAAAAAGGCTAACCGGAAAGACAGGAGAAATTTACTCATAGTGATTGAAAATAAAGGAACCAAAAACAAACCAAGTGCAACTGCCTAAGAGTTTTTAGCTAGGAAATCTTGATGAGTTGAAATGAAACAAGTTGAATTCAAGGGAGTTACCCTTCTATGAGTTTCACCGAATTGGCTAAAATGGAGGTCGCCCGGTCGCCCAGTAGGCCTCATTAGGCATCTGAATGGAGTTGAGGAGATTTGGTTGCATCCCTTGGAATGAAGAAGGATCAGATAATAGTTGCTGCTGTTGTTGTTGTTGCCCTCCAACGCTACCTGGGGGAGATCCAAGTGAAACTCCTTGCAATGGATTGATTGGATTTTCTTCATCTTCAAGTGGAAGCCTTTCATATGCAGCATTGCTGAATGAGGCTGCCATCACTATAACTGGCCCTGATGCCAAAAGCGCACCCACAATGCTGCCTCCCACCACCTGGCCTTGTCCACCGGCTAAATATATAGTCAACCCGGTAGCTGCAGAAGGAGCAGGCGGTGGCAGAAATGATCCGGCCAGTGACAAGATCTCGAACCTTCCATGTAGTGTCACGACTGCGCCAGGAGCAGCCGGTTGCCTTAGGGTTACATTAGTTACATTGCCACTTCCACTCATAATACACACACCTCTTTGGCGCCTCCGAGCAAAGTTTGCAACACTCTCCATGATATCACATCCGTCTGAAATTTCCATGACATGGGTTCTTAGGGCATTAGCACTATCGCGTGTGATGATGATTGGTGGCTTGGGCTTGTTCTTGGATCCAGCCGGTCTTCCTCTAGGCCGTCTTGTCATCTCTCCTCCCATTCCCATGGAGCCGCCCTCTTCGTTCTCACCAGCGTTCATGTTCATTTCATTCTCTTCATCGCGATTTCGTTTCTGTCCCATGTTTAGGCCACTGGTTTCACTCTGCTCATCTTCAGAATTATGGCCCTGATGATGGAATTGCTGCTGCAAATTGAAATCCCTTGTGTGGAAAGGAGGTGGAAGTGAATGACCATGTGCTGATGCTGTTACTGGATCCATAATTTCCCTTCAAATTCTAGCGCTATTGCTTACTTATATTACACCAAGAGATGACCTTTTACAGAGAGGCCAAAATATAGAACTACAATAAAGGGTGTAATGATTTTAAAAGATTGATTAGTGGACTTTGGGCTTTCTCTGTCTCTCCTTTCTCTTACTTTCTTGGTATTTTTTGCCTTGTTTAATTAATCAAGGTACTCATAGTCTTCATCATAAAGAGAAAAAAGGAGTGGATTTTTGGGTGTCACCCACCAGATTTCTCCATCTCACCACTTTCACAGAACACTTGACGGCGTTTTACTAAGATTTTCTTTGAGGGTTTTCAGAGTTCTTAGATTTCAGATGGTTATTACCGGATTAACTAGTTAGGGCTTGATTTTGGTAAAGACGGTGTATGTATGTATAAATATTGTATCTATCAAACTATTTACCTCAGCAAAATGGTATTATTTTTTTTATATTCATGTCAATCCAAGGCTCGTCTCCAAATTCAACTTCTCTTATTCTGTATCTTTCTCAAGGTCTCAATCAATAAGGGGTTCTATTTTGTCTAAAATAAGACACATCTAGTTTTGATCTTAGCATTAATTGGATAGGGTTTTGTATTTGTGTGTAATAATATCTTGACATGATAATTATTGACCACTAAATATTATTCACTAATATTTGCATGAAATATAGATTATGCTGCATGTCAAGGCAATAATTTTCACTCTTAGCTTGTTGGGATGAAATCGCATATCGCTTAAATATGTAAAGTGATACTGAAAATGTAAGGTTATGGACTATTTTTCTTAATAATTTTTGACGTTTAAAAAGTTCAAGCGAGCAAATAATTCAATATGTTGAAAGCTTAACAATATAATTTGATGCCAAGATTGATCATTCACGTTTCAATACTACCTTGTAGGTGGATATTAAAACTAAAATTCTACAATTCTTAAATATTAATCAGCATATAACGATTTGTACTGTTTCTGTTATTAATAAGATTGACCTCTCCAATACTCAATTTGAGAATGTTGAACTTTAAACATTATATTGTTTGACACGATACATAATTGTTTATCTAAATTTTGTCTTCAATATGCATGCGAGAGAGAGTAGTGGTCATAATCTCTTTTATCACATGCACAATGGACTTGTTCTACCACTCTATGTATTGAACAACTTATGTCATAATTTAAGATTTCAGAAGAGGTGTGGTTCCTGTATTAGTACATTTGATATTGAAACTCCATATTCCTTTAATTTTTGTTTATTGTTTCCACATTATAGTTAGGTAATAAAAAGAAAGAGTGAATTACCCAAATGGTCACTGAACTTTGTAAAAGGTTTCGTGATCACTAGGAAACCTTTTGTAAAGTTCAGTGATGATTTGGTGATTTTTAAAGTTCAGTGATCTCGTGAAAATATTTTACAAAGTCCAGTGATGAATTGAATGATTTTTAAAGTTTAGTAATCCTGTAGAAATTTTTTACAAAATTCAGTGACCATTTGGGTAATTCACTAAAAAAGAAACATACAAGATTATGTACATGTGGCATGTCAAGATTATTTTCCAACACTTCGATATAAGTTAGACCAGCTAAATCTTCTATTGTTGCTACCTACAAGCATCCAACAGTGAATTTCCTTTTTTTAGTGTCAACTTTTTGTTGTGAAAGATGCATAATACCAACAAAGGTTTGTACACAATCTATATAAGAAAGATAGAATATATTTAAAATTCAACTTATGACTTACCTTGTGTACAAACAACTTTAAAAAACAAGTACATATTATGTACATATGAGGCATATAAAAATTTTGCCCCCAAGGAAGAGAACTAATATAAGAATAAATCACACATAATTTATTTAAATTTTTCTTTAGCATTCTAATACACATTCAATCATCTAATCTTAAAGTTTAACCAATTCAAAGGAAAAAAGAAAAATTAATTTATTTATATTTCATCTTCAATAATCTTAAAAGATCAAATTCATTCATCATTAAAAGCTATGTTTTAGAACATTGAAAAATACAAAACTATTTAAAACAATCAAATTGCTTGCATGTAGACCAAAATTGCCAGGTTCACCTCAATGTTTTATTTCTTTACTTTTTTGACATATTTTCACATGTTTAACCATTGTTCATCCTCGATTCGATCCTTTCACACTTGATCTTTTATTTTTTAAGGTTGATATCGAAATTTAATAGCACAAACAGCAAATCATAAAATTAGTGCACTATCTCATGCAGGGGCGGACCCAGACTTATTGTGTTTTGGGGTCAAAAATTAAAATATAATTTTTTTAAAACAACATAATATTAATGAAAATAATTTAAAATGAATTTTGATACTTTGAAAAAGTAGTATAATTACAACATTATTAATATTATTAAATGAATTTTGCTAATTGTAAAGTTTCGTTTACCATTTCGTTGACAACCGAAGATGTGTAAATCAAATTGAATTGTAAAAAGTAAATAAATTGAAATAAAATCCAAATTTAATTTAGAAAGTAAATGAAATTCACATTTAAAGCGAATATAATTTGTAAGTAATTCAAATTATATTTTTATTCGTAACAATATTCGTAACAATCCTAAAATTTTTGATGTTATGTTCCATGTAAAATTTCCTAATAAAATGATATAAATTAAATTGAAAAATTTATTGTGCATAAATAATAAACTTTAAAGAAATAATTGATTTTTTTATAAAAAGAATAGACTAGTTTTGAGATGTACGTTTGACGTATATTTAACTATTTTCGATATTCGTTTGGATCATTAGATATGATCATGATCTAGTTCTCAAAACGAGCTTCTAGATGATATAGGTGATTTGTGGATTCGGATAGCATACAATTGTCGACAAATTTTGAAAGTTATCATATTATCGAAATATTAGTTTGAAAGGTCTTACTTTGATGTGTTGTAACTTTTGCTATGGTTAACATTTTGCACACTATTAATGAGCAAAAATCTAGACCATGAGCATTTCAAAATAATATTAAGAATACAATATTTTGATTTTATTTGATATTCCGTAATGAGTGTGTCAAAATGGGTTGTAAATAAATCAAAATAGCTATTTTTTTTTAAAAAAAAAATTCAAAATTTTGTGAGGTCATATTACCCCCACATGACTCCACGTGGTTCCGTCCCTGATCTCATCCAAAACATTGACGCATCGTGAAACTAGATAAATTAAATGTAGACAGACAACTGTCACAATTAAATTGGGTTGTGATTAAGATGAGAAATGTAAGACATAGGGAACAAATTTGAATTTTTCCAAGACCCCCACATGCACCACCACTATCCTCTTCCTATATTCTATTCATAAAAACTTAGGGCCCATATGATACGTGTCATTACCCCCACATTTCTCGGGTCCATTTTTTGAACATTATCTTCTTCTATTTGTAAATGGTCCGTCACTCCACCAGGGCATTGATGTACCATGCACCCTTCATTTTCTCCGAGAATTATCTCTCTTCAGCATCATACACTTTTCCCGCTACCCGAATTTTTCATTTTTCTTATTATTTTTGTGAAGCTATAGTTTAGACGAGAGACGCAATCATATTTTTTATTATCTAAAATTAAGTTGAGAATTCACTTCAAGTACTATTCGTCTCGTATTCCATCAATGCTTCGTGTATGTGGTGTGAATTTTCCCCCTAACTTCTCATCTTTTGTTTGGTCGTGAACTTGTTGACCTCTTTAAAAGAAATTATTAATAAAGAAAAGAGATTAAGCATCTTTATCTTGTCTAATTAAATAAACACCAGGAGCTGGTTTAGCATTACAGAAACCTGGTTTCTTTAGTTGGATGTGCTATTTGACTTGTATAAATTCAAGAAAAAAGATAAAGATTCTGAAAATTAGTTTCGTCCACATCCATTATAATATGTCCAACCTACATGGCAAAAGCATATTGAATATTAAGATCTACAGTTTCATCTTAAAAAAATCAACTTTAATAAGAGAAGTAGTTCAAGTCTTTATATATCGATTAATAAAATTATTGTTGATTGGAGAACATCAATTTTAGAATCTAATATCCCATTTGAGATTTAGATGTATCGTTTGTTCACTTATGTGTTAAGTTTCATCTTAAAAGACCAATTTTACCAAGAAAGCAAAATGTATATGTTTCCAGTTTCTTTTAAAATTGAATACTTACATAAATAAATGTGTGTACTCTCAAACCAGTTAAAGTCACCATCTTTCATTCATCTCATTTCTCAATGTAATAAAGCTGTAGCATTTGAGATGAAATAACGTGGGTGTAATTAGTTAGTTATACGTACATAAAATTTAGGGTTGTTGGTTGGTGGTTGTGGTGGAGTGCGGGGAAAAGAAAAGACGCGTGGGTGGCGCTGACACCCTGTAGGGAGGCAGAAACTACAGCACGAGCAGTGCTTCCCTCTTCTTCTCTGGGAGATACACTGTTGGATTAGTTAGTTATTAATTAAACCAAGTACTTTTCCAGTTGTCGTTTTTGGGATTCTCTCTTTTCTCTTCTATTTTTAATTAGGTTACTGAAACTTATAATAAATCTTTCCACAAATCCAGGTAATAAAGATGCTCTTTGTCGGCTCTCTGTCTCTGTCTGTGTCTCTCTCTCTCTCTCTGATACATTTTTAGCTTGTGATTTTCTATGTTACTTGTTATTAGGAGTGCACCTTGGTTGTGGACCTTCACTTTCGTTGGTTGTCACATTGTGGACGTCGTCAAAGGGCAGTTTTTCGTGCGTCAGTCGACCTATTTTGTGTGGAGTTCGTTTTACTTTTATTATTGAATATTGTAATTATTTAAGGATCATATATGCAAGGGAATGAGCATGAGTTGAAGGAGAATCCGACTTTCAAGATTAATCATTCTCTTGAGTGTGAATGTTGAGAATTTTCTTTAGTATCATGGACAAGACACTAGTAAAGGGATTTTTCTATATATTAAGAAACTATTACACAGCACAGTGTAAAAGTTAGTCGAATGCGGTACGTGTGAGTAAGAGGCTGAAGGACGGGCGAAGGGAGTGGTGACCACCCTCCAATACATTTCGTTGCCCAAAATTTTTTCGCCCCCTACCTAAATTTTGTAGCTCCGCCGCTGGTGAGAGTAATATGTAGATGTAAATTTAACAAATTATTGAATGTAGGTATGGGAAGAGTTGAGATGTGTCTTCTGTTAGTCAAGCTCTAATTAAATAGGTTCAATAATCCTAAAGGATAATATTGTTTCATAACTATGATTTGTCATTTTCAAAAAAATTGATAGCTGCTCCTTATTTATTTCTTAACTGATAGCTGATCCTTATTCCTTTCTTTCTTTTTTACAAATGACGAGATTCCTTGCCAAATGGAACAGCCGTTGACCTAAAGGATAAGGTCAGAAGCAGAAGCATAATA